TTCCTGCTCATTTTTTATTGCTCATTATGCATGCCCCACTGAGATACTCATTCAAGACAAGAACACAAGGCATTTTACATCACTACTGTTTAGTGTGCTAGGGGGTTAAAGAAAGAAGAAAGCAAGCACTAGGAAAATAAATCACTCCACAATGATCACAAGGTGTCAGTTTCCACATAAGAAGCATTCATAGTAAGAAAAATTGTTCACTTGTTATCAAAACATAAAAATTAAGTACAAAGAGCTCAATAGTAATAAACATACATTAGTACCTGTAGAACATATATCTGAAAACTAATTCCCAGATCTATAATCGTGTCCTGGTTTTTGATAAAGTTGTTGAATTTATTGTTGAGATCAGCACTAACACTCATGTCTGTATACATTCGATGGAGCTTGCTGGTAAATTCATAACCACAGGCTTGCTGTGAAGGAATATTGTAACAGGTTTCAGAGTGAAAATGATACTTCTTATATAAATTATGCACATGAACTACTAAAATATAAAAATCTAGTCAGCAGAAGCATTGTTATATTACTTAGAGAACATTAGTTACAACAGAAAAATAACTCTATAAAAGAAAATAATCAGATTAATCTTATTTTCACTTCCTATACATTGATATATATGAACAATGTTATTTTATAAAATTGACAGAGCTAGTTTAAGAAAGTCCTTGGTACCTTTATAATGTAAGCTATTAATTCTTTGAACATACTTAATAAAACTCCCTAAAAACTCAAAAATCTCAAATGCCTAGGTGATTTTTGGCCATATACCTTTCAGAATGCCAAGAAACTTGTTTTTCGTTTCAGCTGCTTGCTAAATTACCTCTGGCACCCTCTGCTGCTCCTTCTCAACAGTACATACTCCTATGTGTGTTCACTGAGCATTAGAAGGATATTACATTACCTTTAGTTTATTAATCATGGCTTCTTCAGAATCCATTGACATAGACAAACCATGAATTAATCTTTTTGCCAACATTCTGGCATAGAACTGCATAAAAAAAATCAGATAAGGATTTTTATAAGTATAACCACATTTTTAAGTATACTTTAAATGTAACATCTTAACATTCACTGAATACCAAAAGTTACCTTTTGGAACACATCTTTGTCATCAATGTATTTGAAAACAGTAATGAAACTTGTAAGTTTGTCTTCTACTTCATTCTCTGTCATCCCTTTTGCTGATTTCTTCAACAAGTTGTCACAGTACTTGGCCAGCTCAAGTGAAAAAAAAAGAAAAAACAAACCCAAACCTACTTGTCAAGCTTGAGAACAAACATGCCAAGGTATGCAAAATTTCTACACAAAAGTTAAAGCAGTTTCCAGTCTCAAGTTCTTTTACAAGGGCTGGGTTCACAGGTAAACAATACATACTACACCCACAGAAAATAAAAACCCATGTAAGAAATTACAACTGCACAAATCTTGCACATCCAAAAATGTGTGTGCAAATGTGTTATTATTACTGAATACATACCTGAGGCTGACCCAGTGTGAGAAATGCATATGCATGTGATGGACCCCTTGCCAATTAATTTGACAGTTATAAATACTACACAATAATATATATCACTTACCAACTCAGGTGCTTTGCAGATTGACTTGGGCTCTCTATAGTTAACTACTGATGTCAAAGCCTATACAGGAACATAAGGCAAAGAGAAAAAAATGTAAATTACATGAAACTATCTTTTATGAAATATGAAGGAAAAAATAAACAAAAACCCCAGAACAAAAACAAATCCACAACACATTCAGGGCAAAGGCCACCTGAGACCCTACAAAACCGAACTACGTAAAAGGGATCAAAAAAGGCACAATGAATAAAAAGATTTGAATTACTGCTCTGTGAGAATTTTTGTGATGAACATTTTAAACTTAAGTAAAACTGGATAGAGTAGAGGCAACAGAAGTTCACTGCAGGAATCAGGAGAAAAAATTAAGTTCCGATTAAAAACTTGAATATAAAAGCGGAAGAAAACCTGAAAATGATGAAAGAGAACAGGAAGGAGATAATGGCAGTTTAGCATTGGAAATTGTAAACACAGGTATCAGAATAATCAAGATTACTTTCTAAACTACATATCACATCTAAATTAATATTTTAAGCTAATACCAAACAAAAAATATTGCATATTCATAGTTCCTAGGAATTCTAGTTCCTCCTATGGAATGAAGACATTATTGCTATTTATAATAAATAACTGACAATCAACTCTTTTGTACAATGCCTCAACATAGCAATATTTGGTAACAGGTCCCTAAAATACCTGTGAAAAAGGAATGCACGACTTGAGAAGCAATATGAAACTCTTTGAGGCTTAGGGCACTCTTTTGCAATAATACTGAAAGTAACAATAGCAGTTTTGATATTCACTATGAAAAACTGACAGCTGGGTAAGATCCTAAATATTTATTGTATTAAAGATCACTGAAGTGAAGAACTGAAGCATTTCATGATAAAGTACATTGCTTCTGTGCCAGCAAATGGAGTTGTCAGTCTCGCATTACTCCACCTTCTGGTATATGACATTATTTGCAACTGAGACAGAAATGCAGCAGGGTACTGAAAGAAGTGTTTATTTTCAAATGCTAAATAGCTATTTTCTCAATATCACAAATACAGATGAATAATTACTGTTGATACTATTACTGGTATCTTTATTACTGTGTCTTTCCAGATTAAACTTGGTTGAAAATAATCAAAGCTTAGACTATGACCCTAGTTACAAATTGCAATTCCTGTAAACACAGCAGAAGAGCAACGAAATATATGCACACATCCTAGGGTAGGAAGGAGTAAATGCACTCTCTGGAAAAGATACAAGGATATATGGGAAAGAGCAGGAAATTAACAAATGGATTAGACAAAATGTACTTTTTTTTGAGAAGCCACTCAATCCCTCAAGATCCCAGGAATGCTTTGTACAAAACAACAACAACAACAATAATAATACAGCAACACCACCACTAGCAATAAAGTTAGTTATATTTAATAAAAAGAATTATAATAATAATTAAATTTATATCAATCAGACAGAACTGTTATCTTAAATATCTTCATGGCTATGCAGGTCAAAGAAAAAAAGCAGCAAGCCTCTTTTCCTAAACAGGCTTAATTAACTTCAAGTGCAATTCTCTCCTGAAAAATGTTAGCTAGTATGACAGTGATTAAATTAATGTAAATTCCCAGATATTCTTTGTAGTCAACTTGAAAAATGTAAAAGCTTCTGCCTAAGTAATACTATTGGCATTCAGAGTTTAAACACTATGTCAGTAAGCAAATTAAAGTTCAAATGTAGGTAAAAGTTATCAAGCTTTTCCAAACCCACTATTCATCTATTTATCTACACTTAGATTTACATTAAATGAATCAGCTCCACTTCTGTGTTTTGAATTATGACAGGAAGAAAGGTAGGTCTTTCAGAAAGCATTTAAGTGGTCTCTTTTGTACATATCTTTTCCCTTAACACTGGCTCATCTTGTTCCATTGCATTTCTGAACTAGGAAAACTGCATAAGAACTCTATCTTTGAACATGGGTTGATGTCCTGAAAAATTCTAGTGAGCCTGAAACAGGGTCCCACATTTTGTTTTCCAACGCTTTTTCTATTGAAGCAAAAGTTACCTTGTCAAGGGCACTCATAAAGTGTTGATCACCGTTCAAAACAGTGTTGATGAGTTGGACAAATTTACTATGTACTTCCAAAACTGACTCCACAAACTGAGTTGGCATCTGAAAAGGTAGTAAAACAGAAAGCAAGTTAACCAGAATAGTAGTACTATATACACACAAACATATCTACATTAGTTGTAAATGTTTTCCTAGTTATTCTTTCTGATGAAATTTAAAATCATAGTGATTAAGTCTTTGAGAAGATTGATGCTCCATTGCTGTACTCTCACACTACTGTGCCTGAGCATGTTCTGGAAATAAAAACCCTATGGCTACATTCACTGTCCTGCTATCAAACAGATTTGAGTCTATAGTGCTCTCATGCCATCTAATCTTTTGCATCATAACCTAAAGTCCTTTATTAGCCCTTTCAAAAATCACTAATGCTAACATGTAAATATAGCAATCAAGCCAAGAAGCTACTGAAATAAGTAAACTGCTGCTTCTCCTACAGACTGACTTCAGAGACAGAAAATGCAGATGAACCCTTTGAATCTTCCTCCACAGGACAATTACTAATCAAATTTAGTGAGCCACGTGTCAGCATAACACAGAGAAATGACTAATATGGATTAGAAGAGTCCCTATTCAGACAAGCTGTCAGGCAGCGATGCAATAGTGTGCAATGCAGTGGCTACATCACTTGATCCCAAAGTGTATTCTCAGGTCACACACTAAAAATATACTTAAGACAAATAACTTAATCCACACAATGAAGCAAGTATTTCACATTTCAAATTTATCTACATGAAGTTGTGAATTTTAATCACCCTCATGGCTCTGCATTCATTTTCCTGTGTAGACACTATTAGTTTGAAAGAATAAGCTCATTAAACTCTGAAATCATTTGAAAGCAAACTATACTACTAAAGACTTCAGCCCATTTTCAGTATGCACGCAGGAGTTAGAGAAGTAAGCACCCCTAGGCAATCAATAAAAAAGTGAATTTAAACATTTCATACCCATGTATTATTACAGACAGAAACACTGGATGGCTAAAGTCACCATCTCAAAGTGTGCACAGATCTAGAGAGCAAGATGTACACATGCACAAATACAATGCCAAATCAAAGGTAGGTTTGGTCTGAAAGGCAATGCCAGAGGAACAAAAATGAAGCTGAGTAAATGCATACGAACTGAAAGATGTTTAACACACTTTAGTAAAATAATAAGCTACAATACTTTCAGAAATTACATTAAAATATGAAACTACAAAGTTATTAGTGAAAATAAAACACGGTGAAACCAGTACAGAATGTCAAGTCTTTACAAATGACATATCATTAAACTAAATGGAATCCTAATGGTTCCTAACATACCAGGACACCAAATGCCACTGACTTGGAGAAATTAAAGAAAAAATATATACATGGAACAAAAGGACCTATTTGTCATGACAGCATCAAATATACAATGAGAAATACCTAGCTGTGTTTGTTTCTGGTTAGATCACAACAATCAGCTCTCAGGATAGGTATGTGCTGCACAGCTACACGTGCCCATTAAAAGTTACAATTTATCCATAACATTCAAAGCCAATTTCAGATAGAGAAAATTAAAAAACAAAACAAAACAAACAAACAAACCCAACAAAAAAAAACAGCTTAGACCAAAAAGCACAGGGTAAACATTTAATCAGGAATGTTCATCAAATAGGTGATTTCAGCTGCCTGAGGAAACTCACATTTTCCTGAGAAAGATTGCTGGTTGCTCTAAGGCCCTCATCATGGATATGGTTTTGAAGTTCCTGAATCATATGAGGTAAACCACTTGACACAGCACGAAGTAGAGTATACATATTTGCCATGTCTGTAACAGAGATACATTTTTATAGAATATGCTTAGAAACACTAAAAAGCAACACCTAATATAGTATCATAATTTCACACAGAACTTTTCAAAGACTGAAACAAGACCAACTGTTTTGAAAAAAAAAAAAAAAAATTCACAAACACTGGATCACTGAAAAAAAAAAAAAAAAAAAAGGAAAGAGTAGGGCTAGTATCAATATTTACTGAGTACTGTCATTGTGACTACCTCACTCTTCCAATACTTCTTATTTAGGAGAGACCCCAAGAAGATGGGTGGGCTAGTACCGCAAAAGTAGCGCATCGGTTTACTTTAACCCTTGGCCTCCCTACATCTCCCACAGCAGCATGTGACTAAAAGCAGTTTAGATATCTTCTTGACTTTTTCTTTTCCTCCAATGGTGGCTTTAAATTTTTCTCAGGTTAGAAAAGTTGTAAATAAGCAACTGCTATTTTAATGACTTTTTTTTTCCCCCCAAAAAAAGGATCCAAGCTAAGGATTTGAAAAACTCTCTGGAAACTCAACACTACTGTTAGATATGTTTAAAATATGACTATGCAAAGTAATTTGTTTCACATAATCGATACCATCTTTCTAGTGCAAGAATAAGCATTCTTTCAAGGGTAAGGAGGCATGTAGTGAACAGGAAGCAAAATTTTTTGTCAGGGGAATGTAACATCTGCTTCTGTAAAAAGGATCTGGGAGATCACAAGAGTAAAATGTGGCTACGAAAAGCCACCGAAATATTTTCTAATCCTGACTTGTCAAATGATGATGAAGAAATCTTTAAAGACAGAGCCATTGGTTTACGAATGAAAACAAAAGTAAAAAATATGATTAGTTCTACAGGACACAAGACTTCACTGTGTTTTCAAGTAGACTAAGACATGGAAAGAGTACTGGCTGAAAGAAGAGTAGTTAACAGTAAAAAGAAAGTTTTGAGTATATATTTGGAAGAATGAAAATGAATTACATGGTAAAAGAAAAATGTCATTCAGGGTTTAACAAGGCTTTTTAAATAAGTAACATATTAGTTAAAAATGGTTAAATGGGCAAAAGGTCACTGAATAAAGATAGTAAACTACAATTCTAAATAAATATAAAAAACCACTTCATGCCTTTTGTGACCATTGAGACTCACCATTCCTCTTCTCTTGTCTGATAATATTGTGACACTCTGCATGTAGAAACTGCAAGTGGTCGGCTACCATTCTCTGCTGGCATTCATGAATCACTTTGCCATACGAGCTGGGATGCAAATACTTCCGACACCGCATTTCTTCATCTTTTAACCTACCTAAAACCTACACACAAGTGTTTAGACTGAGACTGATGAAATACTAACAGGAACATACAACAGCATATGTAGGATGAGAGACACAAGTAACTAACAAAAAAAGAACTAACTTAGGATGCTGAAAAATTAAATTTGCTCTTTTGAATCAGGCTATTGCTGAATATAATCTTTTACTCTAGCAACTAGGCTCAGTCACTACTGGGTGCCTAATAGCATTCAGTAGTTCTGCTCTCAAGATTTCTTCTTCCCTTCAACTTTGTTATCAGTATTCCCCAATTTCTCCTACCACACTTCTCATTCCTTCTGAGAAAATTTTACCACAACTTCTAATTGCCTGATAAGATTCACTTTTCTCTTCCAAACCCACCTCCTTGTACGTAAACATTTCAAAACATGTAGTAGTATACAAAAGGTACAGGATTACATCTGAGCTATTAGTAAAAACTCTGTTTATGATTTCAATGAAGGAAATTGGCATTATCATAAAATAAATCATATGAATACATAAAAGTACTTCTATCCAGTGAGTATGAGAGGAACCTAGGGAAGAGTAGTGCAGGTGCAGACTGCTAATGACAGACAAAATGAATCTGCATTTCTTTCAGATTAATTGAAATCTTAGCCCATCCTTTAATTTCACCTCAGGTGTGCAACCATTACCTTAAGCTCCTTACGGTTAAAAGCAATCTTGGTCTCCTCAGCTTCTCTATCCTGTTTTTCTGGACAGTATTGCACTGAGGACTGACACATACTCTTTTTATTAACCATTGCTTTCTCAAGCAAAGTATAAGAATTAAAAATCATTTAGCCACAATCTGTCTTCATACATCACAAAGCAAAACAAAATGAAAATCCACCTCAGAGTTTTTAAGAATTAAAATTAAAGAATTTTAAGAATTAAATTTTTAAGAACGCTCTGTGACCACTCTAATGGTGCAGTATTCCCTGACCATTACACTGCTGAAGCTCTTGCCGTATGCTACTATGAACAGAAGGGATATAAGGAAGCAATACTGATCAATCTGGTATGTGTTTTGGGTTTTGTCTTTGTTGTGTGGGTTTGTTTGTGGGTGGGTGGTTGTTTATTTTGTTCTTAATTTGTTTGTTTGTTTTTAGTGTGGGGTTTTTCTTCTTTTATGATTGATTTATCATCTACTGAAAAATATTTTGAAGCTGACACTCCATCCATAGGCAAGGGTTGCAGTTTATATACAAATTAACCACGTCACCAACAGGCATAGTTAAAACTGCACAAAAACAAGCAACAAAGAACAGCTTTGTTCTTTGGGAATTGTACAGGAAAACAGGCATTCCAACTACCAGTAAACAGATAATACTAGATTTTATTTATTACAGGTATACAGAAGAATCTCTTACCTTCTCCATGTATTGTGAGCAATTTGACTCTTGCAATAAATTCGAAGCTTCTTGTTTATAATACTCCCCTGTTTCATTCAGAAAAGGACACTCAAAAATTTCCTGATAAAACTAAAAGGGAGACATTTTTTTGAAGGACAAATAATACATGTACTAGATCTACATTCAAAATTAAAAACATAAACCAGAAATGTGAATCTACCTTTAGGGGGAATTTTTTCTTATACTGTTCAACATGAACAAAGGAGTTAATAACCCCATGGATTACTTTCTGGTTTGGGTCTTCTCCACAGCGATCACTGAAATAGGCAAAGTAAACATTCATGAGTAACACAGGTAACTACTGTAACCCACTCAAATGAAATAATATTGGATGAAAACATTTTCCAGTAACTTCCTTGGCTTAGATTGGCAAAACTAAAGAAGATTAACCTTAAAATAAAAACACACTCTTCTTTCTCTCCTATGCATTTAACTTGAGATAATTTATAAACTATTCAAAAGCATCTGCAGGTCATGACATTTCCAACTGTTTGCCAAGGATGTAAGTATTCCAAATTACAGACTCTGAACAAGTACTTTAAGAGTTACAATAAGCTCCACCTTGTATCTGTAGCCTTTATCAAAGAGACTACATTCACACTCCTGCCCCTGCCACAAAAAAAAAAAAACAAACCAAAACTTTTTTGCCAAAATTGCACCAAGAAGCATATTTTCTTTTCTGAATATCTACTGTTCAACAGGCAGATGACAAGTGGAACAAGTAACAGACTTGGCACATTGTCACAGTTTTTAAACGTTTACTGGAAAAGGAAAACCTTAAGTTTTCCAGTCAAATTCTTAGCTTGAAATGAGTGAGTTCAACTCAAGAAAATATTATCTTCAGTCCCATTCAGTTAAAACCAGAAGTAATTAAAACAAGTGTTTTGCATGCAAAAAACATTACAATCTTTGCAAAAACCATTACCATCCTTTGCAAAGATTGGAATTAACAGACCCACACTCAGAGCAGCAGAGATTTCCTTAAAACATGAACTGTTCTAAAAAAGACCACCTGCCACATAAATTTTACAAAGAAGTAAAAAATATTCCTTAACTCCTCACATGTTAAAGGACTTAAAATTTGATTTATAAAGGCATATTTACACTTAAGTATCAGCAATTGTAATGTCAAAGTTTTCCTCTTAGGATAGGTATGTACACACATACACATCTATATAGAATAAGAGCTACTTTTCCCGGACTGCACTGAAAAGACAAAATGAGTTCTCTGTTGGAAACTTGCTTTGGTATAGGAGAGTAATTTATATGCATGATTTTAAAAAATTAAGAGGGAAAAAAAAAAAAAAAAACAAACGCAAAAATACTTCAAACTCAAACATTACCACATACCCATCTAGGCTGGACTGAAATGGGGGAGAAATAATTTTGCTAATTTAATTCATTTGCCTTGGAATTCATAAAAACTCCAGAAGATGCCCATGGGCTAGGAAGCTTTACAAGGGCAACACCAGCAGTCGATGTATTACATGCATCGGACCATGTTCATGTGTTCCCAACACTGTTAATTAAGTGTATTGCTTTTAGGTACTATTATGTCCCAAGATATGACAACTGAAGCTTATGATGAGTGGCAACAACTGGTGCTCTGAGAGATTCTGAGCAGTCACCGAAGGGTTTATGCAGCTTGGTCACCCATTACAAATGAGCTGACCCAATCAGTAACTGCTCCTGCAGGGATGGTCTCATTATTTTACTTTCCCCTGGGGGACAGAAAGGTTTCCTGTGGTTCTGGTAGCTGAATGAAGGGAATTTGAGTTTGGGTACATGTAGTCACGCTGTATTCTTGCCAACATCCCTCTGCTGGGGCTGGTTATGTGACGGTAGAGGCAGCAGTATGCCACAGAAGGGAAGAAGTGTAACACCAGAGGGGCCCAGGACCAGGGTAAGCTGCAGGATGCATGCAGCCTGTGATCACAGCACTATGTCATGGAGTGCAGGAAGCTAGGAGTTAAGAATATTAGAAAGCAGGGCTCTGTCAAGAGACAGTTGATACTGGTGATGAATACGAGAAGCACTACTGTAGTGACAGATGAAGACCCAACTCTTCTCTGCTCAGCTCACAGGAAACTTTACAGACCTCAGTGCACAGAGGGCTGGAGGAGAGGGGGAGCAAAGGTCTGGCCCAGTAGATGCAAAGATTAATGTCTCATTACAAAAAAAAAAAAAAAATTAAAAAAAAAATCCAGTAAAAGTACAGGAGCCCAGGTGCTCCATGGAAAAAACTGCAATCAAATGACAAGTTCAGAGCAACTGCCAGGATCATATAAGCTTTTTTTTTCCTTTTAACAGATGCCACACTCCATTTTTTCCCCCAACACCTGCAGAATTTTTAGTAACTTAAAATCAGTTTACTCAGTGGGTATTATACATTTACAGCAAAGTTGTTGCAAATCTAATTCACAGAACTGTGCTATGAACTTCATCAAGAATGCATCTGAAAAGCTACACTACTTCCAAGACAAATAGTACATAAATAGCTCTCATTCTTCCCACTTTGTCAGCATCTTCAGATTTTTATTTACACCCATAGCACCCTGCTCCCACGAATTTGTACTGTAAATGGCTAGTTTCAACAAAATTTGACAGAAGTTTCAAGGATGATTTTCATGAAAGTTGTAGTAATGAGCTTTTGGCAAACTAAAATGAGAGAAACTGGTGACCCCATCAAGGTTGAGGTCTATTAAGTGTGTATTTCCTTCTTGGCAGTAGCCAACAAGCAATATGGATGCACACAGCTACAGAACAGCTACCACAGTTTGAAGTGGGGATGTCACAGGACACCCTGGGAGGGTAGAAGGGAATGATGGTGTTTGGTGGCTCATCTGGACAAAAAGATAAATCATAAGAAATACATGTTCCACTAATTCTGCTACTGCCAAGTTTCTTTTTTTCAAAAGAAATGGAAAAAATTACAACACAAAAGTTTAAGGACATTGTGCTATTTTGTATTAATTCCATCCTTGTTCCTATCATAAGACTGAAGTTAACACTGTAAGTCTAACATGTGTCCTGCAGTGTACTACTACAGCCCCATAAAACATATTTAAAGTTTAAGGTACAATAATCAATGCTGTATTCACTAAAAGAATCCATCATGCAAATGAAGTGCTCTGCTGTCAGACCAATAGCTTATTGAGACAAATTAAATATGGAATTCACTGTGAAACAGAAGAGCCTGTATCAAACACTTTTAAAAAGTCATTAACTTCCAATAGCTTTCCTTGCAAACAAATGTGCAAACAGTGTATCAGCGTAGGCAAGAATGTGTTCAGTTAGTTGGAAAGTGTTAGTTATCTTTAGTACAGAAGCCTCTCCTGGTTAGTCTGCACTAATCACACTGTCATTTGAGATAGCACCTGAATAATTTCCAAATTATTTCTGTTTAAGAATTTCATAGATGAATTTTCTCACAATTCGAGATCTTGGCGGCTTCCTGTTGTGTTGGAACAAAAATGCGTAAGTTGATATTCAGCTTGCCTTGTAGGAGTTGTGCTTGGGCTAGAGGGAGGGGGGAGAAAGTGTTATATTCAGAACTCTGTATTAAGAGGAGTGCAGTCAGACAAGACAGGCTTAAGTGATTTAACAATTCTCTGCTGTTCAAGGGGGCTAATCCTGCCCCCTTTTGCTCAGTCAGAGGCCTCTCCATCTCTCTTGCATTGCTTTGGCACTCATTGAATTCTTCCATGAACTGACTCATTGTGCCAGTCTGAAGAATTATTACCCAAGATGGTTTTTGGTCATATTAGTGGTTGAATTGGTTCATTAAGGGAGTAGATGAGCATCAAATTTAGCACCAGAAAGATAGTAGAGCACAGCCTGCTGCTTTTTGGCAAACTGTTAGGTAGGTTTAGCTACCTTGTTCAGCTAAACAAGTCACTGCCCGTATTTCTTTGTCACATGCCAAGGAAGTTTACTGTTAATTTTAATGCATAGTGTACTGCACAAATTTATAGCTTCTGAAAAGTTGTTGTGCTCCAGGACTTTAGTCAGAAATCTTTTTAAAATTCCAGCTAACTACACAGACAAAACTAAACCTGAAAGCAAAATTTGTGGCTCTGCTTCTCCTACCTTTTCCAGTACAGTAATAAACATCCTTTTATATGCAACCGGTTGGCTATAAGTTCAACTGCCAAATCTATATTTAAAATTTGTTTTTGTAAAACATGCATAAATTGAACCATGCATGTACCTAAGTACTACACTTAAGAAGGTACCTAATCAAGACATTTCTAAGTATATAGATGTATTAGTAATTTTATTACATTTTTAGGTAATTAACTTGTCATGCATATTCTTGCACCTCTAATAGATGTAAGATTTATCCATTCTTTCAAAAACATTGTTTAATCCCTGAATTGCTGAACTCCATTCTGAAAGAGATTTAACAGACTTTGCTTGCAGCAAAGTCTTTACAATTGCTTAGGGCCCAGTACAAACTGTATTGACCACTGGAACCATAACAAAGAACAGCAACAACCCTACAGCTACATGTGAAGGCTGCCCTCAGAGTACCCACAGCAGGCTCTGCATTTCATCATACCAGTGAGAAGAGCTATAATAAGCTCTCTTTTATATAGTTCATGACATGAGAGGCATATCACAGAAGTGGCTAGAACAAACAACACGAATTGTTAGATGTGTATGTTGAGAAAGAGTCGGATTAACTTCTTTGAGATCACACAGAAGTATCCTTAATAGTGGAGGGGGGGAGGGGAAATACAGACCCAACCATAAGAGACAATGACTCAAGTTTTGTTTAAAAGTTTCCAAATTCTTTAATAATAGATAACGTCAACCTGTTACAGTCTCAAGATCTAATGCCCTGCAAAGCTAGTGAGTCTTGATCTAAATACCCTTGTGTGATCTGCAGTCAGCCTCGAGGCAAATACATACCATTACTTTTAAGAGGATCAGATGCCTGTCAAAAAGGGTTTTAACACAGATTTCCACTCCCACACACTAGTGAAATATACAGATTTACTAAAACAAGTCTTCAGTGTCACTTGTGCTTTCCTTAAAGCAGAATTTTCTTTACCAGGAATTAGGGAAACTTCATTTAGTAAAAATAAATTGTTATAGTAAACATATGGGTGTGGCAGTATTAGCACTGGTTAGCAAATAAATACTGAATACTAAATACTGAAAGCAAATAAATACTTCCTCGCTTCAGAGATACTGAGAGGGACACCATGTCTGTTACTTACTCATCAAAAATTTAATTCAGGAAGGAAAAATAAAATTAGAATATTAAAACTGGGGTTTTAATGCCTTATAAATAGAAGCTTTTCAGCTGACCAAGTGCATGTCCAAGTCACTTCAAACAGACAAACCACCTCACTCTTTCAGTTTACCTACACTACCCTGGTCACCCAAGTCAGACATGCAATCACCTAAAAAAAACCCAGTGATTAGGCAACTCCAGAGCTAGTGTATGCAGCAGTAAAAGTGTAAAAACTGATGGAATGTACCACTACACACAAGGTCTGCAGTACATTTCAAAAATTCTGTTTATTCATAAGTTAAGAGATCCTTTAGGAGTCAAATAATACAAGCGTTTTAAATGAAAAACTTAAAAATCCTCAAGTCCTGTAACTCCCAGGATCTCTGTTCAATATTCAGAAAGGGTGTTTGTTTTTTTTTTTTTTTCCCCCCACTTTGAGAGAATTTATAATTATTTCCATTTCATTGACATAAAGGACCTAGAATGGTAAGTGAAATCACTCATCTGAACAACAGAAACCCAGAAGCTCAGTTTTCCTGGCAGATCAGCAAGAATTGTTTGGAATCTCATGCACAGCAAAACAGCTTTTCTGGCTTCAACAGAGCCTTGCATTAGGTCCTGGACCTTATGTTTACTGACAGCACAGAAGCCATAAGCAGTCAGCATCGAGTGGAGAAAAAGGCAAAAGGCATCCTAGGGCCTGGAGAGTTATTATAACTACTCTCCAGTCTGATGGATAAGAAGGGTTGCTGAAACAGAAAAGATCACTACCCTCAGGATACTCTGAATTAACTGTTTCGGTTTTATTTGGTTGGGTTTTGGTTTTTTTTAAGTCTTTTTCTACACATGTAAACAACAAATATTTAGCTATAATGAGAAAAGCTGATAGAACATCATCATCATCATCAGTGGAGTCAAAGTTCCCAGACTTCTCAAAGTAAAAAAGTACAATACTGCCACACCATGTAAGAGCAAAAAATAATGCAGCACTCACTTTTTTATTTCTCGGAGGAGCATCCGAATGAGGATGGTCTGCAGTGGCTCAATCATCAATTTTCTCCACATATCAAGAGCTAGCTGTCAGGACACAACACATGTTTACATCAATAAAAAATACCAAGTACCTTAAAACAATACCAAAGATGATACAACTCTCTGTTCAGAATTTTTAATATTAAATTGTTAGATACTTTCTTCTTTATCTTTTTTAAATGCTTTTGTTAGCCTGCCCCTCACTCCCACTTTGTCAATATGTTAAAGTATTATTTTTGCACTTTTTCCTCTAAAACATCTGCATTTGGATGAAGATCACACACATAAGTACTAGCAGTGCCAGGCAGAATTTCTAGTCAGGAAGTGTCTGAACTCTTTTTTCCTTGTCTGCATTCTTCCTACACATCTAATTGGACTCATTTATTCCTTGGTACCATTCTTTCAAGGATTCTCAAATGCACAAAAGGGCCCTAAGCAAGTTGGCTACAAAGGCAGGTTTTGAGTATATACATACACAAAACATCTCCACTGTAATAAGTAACATGCCTTTCTACCTGAAGCATTTGAATGTGTGCAATCACCAGTACTTCGAAAATGACAGCAAAATAAGCCTTATGTGGCAAAAGGGAGTGGCTCTTGACCAACTTGTCAGAGGTCAGAGTCAAAGATACAGAACCCTTATCTCCACCACACAGACTCCAAACTAAAATGCATACAGCTTAAGCACAGTCACTGGCAAGCTGATATTTGGCTTAAATGGAATTCAATCACCTTCATATTAGAGGTATCAGTCAAATGGTCTCTAGTATCTCATACTCTTGAGGGTGAAGTAACTGTTTCCAAAACATACCTTTTTAGAAACACAACTGCAATCATTCAAAGTTTTTACATTTAAGTCAAAATCAGATTTAAAGCCTGAAGGGGATAATGTGATCCCTCATATGGGGGGAATATTTGAGACCTCTAAAAACACCTACCAGTGACTAGTAGACTTCCGAAAAATGAAATTACCAAAATCAGTGGGGATAAAGGGAAAACTGCTGCTAAGAAAGCTTTGACAGAAGCAAGTCCTTAACTGTAAAAATTAAAATATTGATCAGGTATGTCTTAACTGAAAGTAGGCATCTAGCTATGGATTAGGAATCCAACATGATCCACTTTGAGAAACAAATCTTCCTTTTGAAGAGCAGACAAATGAACTTGCTCTGTTACAGCTACCTAGTAAATCCATGCTGTAAGACAGGGTACAGAAGTCTGGGAGGTAAAGCTGACCCAACTGCATCATAAGCAGGTTCAAAGAAGAGGTAAAGGTTTGCTTACAAATCAAAAGAATGTTTTGAAATCAAAGTTGTCTTAGGAGTAGTTTTCACTGTCTAGCTTTGTGGAGAGTGGTAGCAGAACAGTTAGAGGAAAATAGGTTCCCTAAGACATCAGGAACTCATCCAGCAGAGAATGCTGAAAGAAGCTAGTTCTGGAGGATAAGCAAGCACTGACACATCTTGTGACTATGAGGTAAAGGGGGTGACCTCAGGTAAATCTATTCTGCAGTATGGCCTCTGAAATGCAGTCTCTGGCATGGTCCCCTTCACATGATGTACCGATCTGAAACAGCTTCAAGCAGTTTGTTGGAATTTTCTTGTCAAGTGAATTACAGACCAATCAATCCAGCAACTATGTGTTAGTTGAAGAGATTTCTTCCTCCCTGAAGAGTGGGACTGATCTTATCTCTTCACCTAGACTGACAACACAAAACATGGCAGTTTCCTTCATTTTCCAGAATCTGTTGCCCCATGATGGCAGAAAAAATAAAGTAAGGCACATCTTAACTTTACCTTCTAGCTAAGGGCTCTCACAGGGTCAGTGAAAACTCAGAAGTCTGAAACTCATGATAGGAAATCAACTCAGAAAAGCAGTATCCTTCACTCTGCATTCATCATATACAGACAGAACAAGAAAAAAAAGTCTCAGGCAAGCACTGGCAGACTATTTTCACCAACTGATCTCATCCTGTATTTTTCCTAGTACAACAATTACTGAATGTCTGGAATACTTATTGTGATGATAAACTGTTTGAAGCCATGCCCATACACTTCACATACACACTTCTGGTCTCTTATATGTACCTACTGTCACACACCCCTGAAGAACCAAGCAAGCATGTACTTGTTTAACATTACTGAAAAGTTCCCAAAGTTTCATTAGAACACAGGAGCAATGCTGAGACAGAAACTCCAGTACACAGACAGTACAGTTTTGCTTCTAAAAATACTGGGCATTGTTCCTCTAATTCCATGCTGAGACTGAAAAGAACTATATATAAAATACACATGTTTGTTCTGGGGTAAAGGAGAGATCATCTCAATCCCCTAAAATGGATAAATTGTAATTCCTTCCATTCTGAAGTGACAAACAACAGAAACAGACTTTTGTCAAAGCCTATAGTCCAATCCAACAAATAAAAGAGAGAATCCTAAATAGGAATCATAGCAAAAGAGAAAATGCTTTCAAAACAAAGACTTGAAAAACTCATGAAGCGCCTTGCAGGTCAGGAAATGTGAAGTATTTTATTTCTGGGGCAATAAATTCACCAAAACCAGTGCTGCAGTTTAATGTATTAAACTACTTGAGTGGAGGACTCAAGTCTCCATTCCTTTTCAGGGAAATGGAGTAACTACCATAAGCCTAATCCTACATCAGTAATAAATATTAACTTTACTACCTCAAGATCCAAACTTTACCTCCCACTGCTACAGAATACAAAAAGTATTTGGTAGAGAGAAATAGGAGTCTTGGGGAGTGATATAATGAAGAATTCATTAGTAGAATTCCAGACATCATTATCTGAACATCTTCATTAAAAACTGAAGGCTGCCAGCTATAGTTAAAAGAATCATGACCCTGCCTATAACCTGCCCAAACAACGAACGAGGGATGTACCGTCCTAGGATCAACTGCTGGGAAGTTTGAAGAGAAATGTGTGTCATTGTCCTTCCACCTCCCTTATGATTCCATAAATATGAGGAAAGCAGAACACCAAAAAAAAAAGCAGAATTATCAGGTCTGCTGTCTTTTCTTCTTTGATAAACATATTCTAGGGCAGAAAGCTATGGACACAACTTGCTACTGCAATCCTTTGGGTGATACCTCAGAATGGAATAGCACACTGAAACAGAGGCAGAATTCTTTAATACATTAGCATCACCCAGTTCCAAGAAGTCCAGACCTCTTCTCAGCCTCCAAAGCAGCTGAACGAAGAAGTCATTCACACAGCCCTAAGGACCACCTCTGACACTCATGGGAACAGAATGGGCCAAATCTCAGTCTGAGGAAGTAAGGAATGACATTCCTGTTATTTTGAAGGTACCACAGTGTAGCAATGTACACTTACAAGCTCTGATTAGCAAGACATGGAGACAGCACAGGTAGACAAGAAAATTTCCTTTCCTGAATTGCCTTGACTTAGTGTATCCTGTTTCTGATGTTTTTTTTCAGTCTGTCTCCAACCCATCAGAGGATTAGCAATTTCAACTGGCAATGCCATCTTCATCAGCTGGGTCAGAAGCACTGATGATGATTCTTCATCCATCAAAGTTTTTCCTTACTCTCAACTACAGACAGCAGAGGTCTCCCACTTAATGAAATCCAAGAGCTAAAACACTAATCACTGACAAGTCAAGTTCTGACATTAAGGAGGGAAAAAAAAAAAAAAAGTGTTTTCTCTAGTTCTTCAAACCAAAAAGTGCTCACTTCCCTTTTAGAGAAAAAGATAATGTATTGCACTTTTGCTTTTGCTCTCTACACCACTACAGATAACAGAATAAAATGAATTCTGCAGGTAGCACTGTGTATATATACACAGACAGAAAGCAAAAAGATGCACAGACAAGCATTCAAAGAAATGTTTCTGCTCAACTGCAGGACTGTGGGTTTGTTCTGATTCAGACTCAAAACGTGTTTTCAAAATCTTAAGAACATACTGAAACATCATGTTTTGAGAAATTTGAATTTTTTTTTTTTACTGTAAAATTGTCTTATTTTACTTTCTTATATTTCATAGTAACAGTAGCCATGAAGTGAAAGAAACCATGTACACTGTGCTTCTGCACAGCCAAAGTACACAAAATGTATCTAAGCACGCAGTCCTACCTGCTGATAATTTTCTTCATTTTATAGATATTTAAAAAATTACTCTCAACTTCTCCAACTTACTTCAGTAACCATGTCAACACCCTTGTGCTTCCTCTGGATTTTTTTTTTTTTTAAAGATAAACCCTCTCTATATACTTTTGTCCACTAATCTTTTTCTTTCAAAGTTTCTGAGTTGCTATAACAGAAACACAAAACAGCTTCCATCAGAAAATAAGATGTAGAGAAGACCAATCTCAAAAAAAGCTGTTACACATTATGATACCAAGAAACAGAAGCATAAAAGTAGCATTTCAAGGGTTTCCAAAAACAAAAGTACTGGTTCTTCAAAATATTTTCTAGATAGTAATGTCACTTAATAAACCAAAGAATTTTCTGCAATGTGGTATCACAGAAAAGTCAAAATTCAAAAGGACAGAGATGGACTTGTAGTGCTTCTCAATACAGTTCCTATACACTCCCACTTCCAGAGATACCTACCTCCCCTATTTCCATCAAGGGCTCATTCATATCCACCCCTCCATAGCCATACTGAAGATCAGCTTCAGTCAGTTTGTTCTTCTTAATAAACTGTGTGTTGAGGTACCTATAGAAATGAAGATTCTAATCAAAACAGGCCAATGTTAAGCTTTTCATTTTTAAATATATTTGGAATTGTGGAATGTCTTATACATCATAAAAGATAATCTCTTTTAACCAATGCTGTTGCTATCTATAGGAAATTCTTCAAATATAAAATATTTCAATTGAAAAGACCTTACATCATACTAAAACAGTACAGTGTTAGTAATGGAGATATAGTCTGATATATTGCTGTCAGCATTTTCCTAGTGTACAACATACTTGTGTAAAAATTCAAACTTTCAATATACACTGTTGTATTACTCATACATGTATATGCAAAACAATTGCTAAATTCTGAGCTGTTGACTAGAATTACAGTGATAATAGATTATCTTTAATGACAGAAAAGTATTCCCAAATAGTAGATATTTTTTCTGTAAAATGTGTTTTCTTGTACCAATACTGTTCATTATTTTCCATTTCTCTCAGACTGAAACACAAAAATAGTGTCAATATTCTTTGTCAATAGTGCAAATTTTTGCCAGTTATGATCCCTTACTCAGGTCATGGTAATTAGCAAACAGCTGTATTACAAGTTTTAAAAATAAGAATTTGCAGAAATTATTTAGCAGATATAAAGAAGTGTTATAAAAGTTTTTCTTACTTTAGTATTTATTTTTAAAAATGCATACAATAGTAAAGAACAGAAAATGGTTTAAGATTTTTAAACCGAACCACTCTCCTTTCCCAGATAACTGGGAAAAAAATTACCATCTTTCACAACTACATTTGTAATATATTTTATATGCTAGTTTTTAAATTAGAAAATTGACCTTTTTTGGGTGGGTTTTTTGGTGTGTTAGGTTGTGGGATTTGAGGGGTTTTTGTTTGTTTTAACTTCCAAACCAAATAACAGTATTGAGTTGCCTAGTTTCAGACACTGAAGAGAGCCAGATTATGGAAACACTTTAAGAGATTCAGACTTCAGAGTCTGCACCAGCCTAGTGATGTCTGAACACTCTGGGCAGGATGGCAAAAGACAAAGAAAGAAGAAAAGGAGAAACACACTGTGGAAACCTGTGAACTTGAGAGAATTTAGGACACCACAGTGGAGTCCAAAGAAGGAATCCTTGTGACAGTGAAGTGGTGACAAACTGAAATATAGTGGCCTAAACCTACTTTCAGACTCCGGAGTCTTATTGATAGTAGAAGAGTGGTTTACAGTCCTCTATAACCACCATAAACTGTAAATGCCAGTCTGTGCAGAAGGCTGCAAGCTCTCCATTTCATGTAAAACTTGTGTTCCAGCTCTTCTGGGTATCTGCACAAGTCTATAGCAAGTATGCTCCTTGATAGTATTTCCCACTCCCCCCCACCCCATGTGAACAAAGGCAGCAGCTGCCATTCTGCTTTTTCCTGTTAAGCTTGTTAAAAAAGAAAGCCCGATGCTCTCCTCATTCACACCCTCTCTCTTCCACCAGCAGGTGCCTTCTTTACAAACCCAGATCAGGCAACTGACCCATCCTATAACTCACGTAGCCACAAGCAAACGAACCAGTTTACCTACATCAGCTACCTCTGCAAAGACCTACCTGCTTCAAGCAAGAAGGGAGTGGCAACCAGCAAGCAGCTAAAGTCAATCGTGGCAAGAGTGTCACCACACTCTGCCTCAAAATCAAAACCAAATTTGTCCACATTTCCTCTCCCCTTTTACCATCAACTTCCAAAACGAAGCACACACAAATAACTGCTAAGAATGTGCTAACATCATCTCAGGACTTCCACTGAATTAATTTTTAACCTTGAATACCTTATTTCAAATACTTCACATGCTTCCATTCCACAAAGAAGTTCAAAAGTTTGGAATTTAGAAGAGCATTACAAGACTCATTCAAAACAAATACCTACTTTACAGTGGAATGCTGAAAGACAGTGTTCCATCCAAATTAACATTATCAGGAAAATACCTGGTACATTAATATTTTTGTGGGCAATTTTTTTCAGATAAAAAGGACTTGATGATTCAGTAAAATAAAAGGATAAGTTCTTCTACATGGAATTGAGCAAAAATAAAAACTGCAAAAATTAATTCCACAATTAGAAGGGTAGCTGATAATTGAAACATGTTACCCAGTAACTTCCACCTAAATTAAGGAAATCCTCCCATTACTTGAAATAAAGGTACAAACCCCAGATTTTCTAACAAATATGATTACAGCATTGAGTCCCTGATAACTCCCAATGTCCAATACTAGTTTTATCTATTATCACCAGATCTAACAAAAACAACTGAAGTACTTTCTTTACTATCAACTGTTGTTTATTCCATCAGTTTTATCACCTTGGTTTAGTGAAGCACGTATGGGATTTTAGTTGTCATCCTGAATCCAAAATTTGTTTGTCCTAGCAAAATGCACCCAAGGGGGTGGGTGAAAAAAAACTAAACCAGAATCAGCACCAAAGAAAGAAAATATTTTCTTGCGTAGCCAGTCACGTGACTGGTCTTGCATTTTATAAATTTTGCTTAAAAGTAAAGTGTCTCACATTTTAATATTTCAATTATTACCTCTCAGGATAGAAGGTTTAAAAAGCACAGATGATAGCCCACCTAAATTTTAAAGGTATATATTTAAAAATAACATTAAGATTACTAGCTGTAAAGATTAATCAGTTTCCATTGCTGGAAGAATTATACAAACTAGATCCAGAGATACAAAGAACTCTAACTGCTTTATAAAACCCAGAATATCTTCTTAGAGTCATCAGAAGTATTTTCATCCAAAACGTTCTCCCAAAACCCAAAAGAAGTGATGTAACACAAATGTTTCCAATGCATGAAAATCATTATGACTCTATTCATTAAGCACTGAATTATTTCTTACCTTCATGTGACACAGTCTTTTAGTTCCCATTATAACATATGTTTTATTATTGAAGAGAAAAATCATACTTCCACAAAGTCATACATTTTAGAGACTTATGAAGAACAGCATATGACAAAACTCAGAATTTCAATACACAGAAATAAAATTAAACCTTAAGGTTAAATTATTTCTAAGAGAACACCTGACATGTACATCTTCTGGACCAAAACACCCTATAGGAAGTGGGAAGAAGAGTTAGAATAGGCAGAGCTGGCATGAAATAAGTAACTGCAGAGTTTAAGGACTTGGCTTCACTTGTGTATGAATACCACTCTACAATCAGTGAGCTACATATAATTACAATCATATACAGCTTCTATATTTGTAGAGGTTGGTTAGTGTGCATAATAAATGCCTTAAAAAAAATATCTGGATTTGTTTAAATACGAAACAAAAAAGTCAGGTTCATATTGCTGGCCAAGTATTTCAATTTGTTTTTATTTATTTTTTAATTTTAGTTTGTGACCACAAGCATGCACGCGCTCAGAAAAACCGTTAAACAAAGCAGAATCAGTGAGATTTAAAAAACATTAAGTAGGATTTCCCCTCATACCAAATCTCTATAGCTAAGTCTCAGCGTGATTTCGATAGACTGGAGAGCTGGGCCAAGAGGAACCTAATGAGGTTCAATAAGAATAAGTGCAGAGTCCTGCACCTGGGAAGAAGTAATAAAATGCACCAGTACAGGTTAGGAGGAGATCTGCTAGAGAGCAGCTCTGTGGAGAGGGACCTTGGAGTCCTGGTGGACAAGTTCTCCACGGGACAGCAGTGTGCCCTTGTGGCCAGGAAGGCCAATGGTATCAAGGGGTACATTAAGAAAAGTGTACGCAGCAGAACAAGGGAGGTCCCCCTCCCCCTCTACTCTGCCCTGGTAAGACCTTACTTGGAGTATTGTGTCCAGTTCTGGGCTCCCCATTTCAAGAGGGACAGAGATCTACTCAAGAGAGTCCAGCGAAGGGCTGCGAGGATGACTGGGGGACTGGAACACCTGCCTTGTGAGGAGAGGCTGAGAGACCTGGGGCTTTTTAGTCTGGAGAGAAGACTTAGGGGGGATCTAATTAATGTGTATAAATATATGCAGGCTGGGTGTCAGGAAGGAAAGGGCAATCTCTTCTCACTTATGCCCTGAGATAGGACACGGGGCAAGGGTCACAAGCTGGAGCACAGGAAGTTCCACCTCAATGTGAGGAAGAACAACTTTACTGTAAGGGTTCCAGAGCACTGGAACAGGCTCCCCAGGGAGGTTGTGGAGCCTCCTACCTTGGAGACTTTTCAGACCCATCTGGATGTGTTCCTGTGTGACCTGCCCTAGACTAGATGGTCCTGCTCTGGCAGGGGGGTTGGATTCGATGATCTCCAGAGGTCCCTTCCAACCCCTAACGTTCTGTGATTCTGTGAAGTCAGTGACACATTAAGGAACTAAAGTTTGAAAGCCTAGGATGGATTCCATCACATCTGTTCCCAGTCTGCTAGCAATAATTTAATAGACTCTACAAGACCCCACATACATTTAACATAACAGTAAAAGGTCTTGAAATCCTTTATAAATCCTCACATCATATTACCAAATAAGTACAATATTAAGCATCTCATAAGTTATATTTACCTGCAGGGTATCAGATGTCTAACGGACATGAGAATGTTCAACCTACAGTCAGTGGAATTAAAATCCAAATCCTACTAAACCCAAAGCCATCTCAATATAGTTATAATTGTAATAACCCATGAATGGGCGAGTTTTACATCTATAAGTTATCACCAGTGGCAATGAAACATTTGCAACTCAGGAAACAATACAACTACAAAAATAACAGGGGTTGGTTGTGTTTATTTATAGACTTGTCTGTAATCTACTAAAACAACAGTAAAATCGTCTATTAGTTTCTGAAGTTCTCAGAAATCATGAGAAATTTTCACTCCTCCAAACCCTGCAGTCCGAATACTCACCTGAAAAGACCAAACTCAAACTGCACAGAGCCTTGACTAAAAGACTCTTCCAGAGAGGAGGGCTTTTTTTTTTTTTGCCAAGGCACATGGCTAAACTTTGAAACAAACCATGCTGGCTCAACTGGACAACTTCAGTACAATGACATCCTTGTAAACGTACACCTAGAATTATCAGCTACTTCACTGCAGCTTTGATTAGCATACTTGACACTGCAACACGATAAAAAGAGGCAGAATATATAGTAATGAAGAACAGTAGGAATCATCTTAGATCATTACTTCAGTGGTAAGGAGTGCACAAAATAAAAAGTTGGAGCATTTATTGCTTTTTTCTTGTGTTCTGCTACCATAACTGTATGCTCTCCAAAACTGATCTGGGTCAATTCAGTTACTGATATGTTTAAACAACACTCTTAAACTTAAGCAGCAGATCATTCTAATAATTTCAAAAGTTTAACAACTCATTTGTAAAGTTTACCTGTATAAACAGTCCATATAGTCTGCCCCTTTGCTATACTCTTCCCAGTACCTGTGATACATAACCAGTACTTGTTCTTCAGCTTCCAGTACTCTCTGTGAAGAAAGACACACACGCCCCCCCCCCCAAATTAGTATGGAAATAGCACAGAAGGTTACAACAGGATTATAATTTTGGAATAACAATCACATATTCAAAATTAAGACCACACCTAAAATTTAAGGGGTCTAAACATAACATTGTGGCAATGACCAGAGAACTAACAAATCTTCACACTACAAAGTTTTGGTCAGCCAGCTACAGCACCTGAAGTTCCTTTATTTTGCATTAAAAAAAAAAAAAAACAACTCTATAATGTATTCTTTTCTATTTCTCTTTACAGAATTACTTGCATGAATAAGCATGGTTCATATTCTCACATGACACTGGGGGTAACTCACAACTACTCCCTCAGCGACACAGACCAATTTAAAATTCATGCAGCCACATGCACACTGAAGGAGTTGCCTAATTATAACCACTTAAAATCAGTATGCCTTACTGGTTAGAGAAGCCCTTATACTTATCACGAATCCTGGAATAAAACAAGTTTAACAAAGCACAGATGTGTGCCAACTTGAAACAGACCTAGACGCAAATCTTCTGGAATTTAAGTGAACCGTCATCTAAAAAGCTGCTGATGCACTGAACTTCTCAAAGTACATTCATACTTCAGAAGGAATAAGTTCAACCATTTAAACTAATAACTATGGTTTCTGCAGGAGGATGAAAACCTAGGAACTCAACTAGAAATATCTCTAGAGCATATAATTTTAAATTGGACTCAAGCAGCAAAGAAGCCTATGCAAAAATGACTTAAGAGAAAGGCTAGCAGACAAAACAGAATCAAGAGTGCTTTCCTCTGCCAAATGAATTTTGCCAAGGTTTTCTAACACTATTTCAAAGACATATAGTAGATAGCCAATTTTAAAAAAAATCTTGAAATATGTTTTACCACTACTTCCCACAGCCTCTACTGTTTTGGCGCCTGCCTGATTAACCCAAGTGGCCTCCTTCAGCTCACTAAATAGATGAGGAAGAACTTTTTTGGCTGAGTTGTTCAACACTCTAGTGAACTCATTCACTGCCAAAGTGTCAGAGGTATCCTCTCTGCAACCACTGGAACTACCTATTAAGACACCCACCCTGTCTTGTCAAATACACAGGTACCTAACCTCAAAAAATACCATCAACCCACACCACAGTACTAGCCAGAAACTGCAATTCTTCCTGACCTATGCAGACACCAAAGACAGGTGGACACCTTCTTTAAATCTACTTCTTTTACAGAAATACAAGGAGACCCTATTCATCTCAACATAATGAATCACACTTCTGTGGAAACTAGCTGTCCTAGCTGACAAAAGTTAATTCGCACTATTTTGATATACAAGTACTGTTGTTTAGAATAATAAATAATTTGTTCATTACTTCATCCCCTCACAAGCACTGTTACTTTATTACCTACACATTTCAGACATTTTCTTTAGTAGAGTACATACAGTTTCCAAGGCACTGGAGGAGATACTTCTAATGTTGTAACAGAAGGCTAATTTTGTCATTATCACATTTGGAAATTGAAGACATTCCTGTAACTTGTTTGATTATAAGCATTCAACAGAAAATAATTTACTTTCCAAGGCAATGAATAGTTGATATAAATCATAATAGTTGGCTATAAAAAAAGTTTGTTCTTATGTTGTATGCAGACAGGTATCTATATATCTGTCTGCACCATGTCATATCATGCAAGTGTTGCGTATAACAAAATGTCACCTCTGATTTAATCTCAAAATCTGTGTACCTTCATGTGTACAAAACCTCTCTCTGAAGATAAAAAAGGAGAAATAAAACCTACATGTACATTAGCAACTGCATATGTTACCTTGTGCAAATGGCGTACATGATTTTCCAAAAAAATTTTAGTCTCAGTATAAAGTCTCTCTCCAAGAGGTTCAGGATAGGCCACACACAAAGCATAAATGTCTCTGGGCTCAGAGTCAAGGTTTGTACCTGCTTAAAGTGTGAAAACTTAACAAAATTTAAGACTTACAGAACTTTTTCCCCCACACATACATTTTGGATTTTCTTTCACAGTCAAGCATAAACAATAACATGAAATTAATTTAAATCCTGATTTGTGAACAATCTAAGTATCCACCATTTATAATAAATTTTAAGTAGTGTAAGGGTGAGGGACTGTTAGAGCTAAGATCCTGAAATTACTGATGGCCCCACATTGACATGGCTTCTACCAGTTATTCACAATTAATGTATGATTATGTCAAAGTGAAAAAATCAGCTTTTGTCCAAAATTCTTCCTCTGTATCTTCAGCCAATCTGAAACAGACTTTTTTTGGCTAATGGAAAAAAGCACTAGTTTAAAAATGCAATTAGCCAAGTATACAACAATGTAAACAAAGTGAAGCCAACTTCAAGTTTGCTCATTAAGTCTAGGCACTTGAGAAAAACAAACATGCTAGAAATGATTTAATATACATTGCTTCAATGTAAGCTCTTGAATTAAGGGAAGACACAAGATCTGCCCTCCTCCAGTCCACCTTTAAAAAAACCACATGCCTGTGTGAAAGGAGGTAGAAGACATACGGACAGCTGACAAGTCACCTGCTCAGTCTACAGAACACTGTTAAGGTTTCACCAGTTTTTCCCAAAAGCATGTTTCACTTTTTACAAACAAGTGCTAGCGAAAAGAAAGACATACTGATGTAGGACAACTAAACGGAAATAAGCCTTTATTTGACAAGTGGAATCTCAGAAAGCCTGATCAGACTCTAAACTTGAGTACAGTTATTTCATCTACATCAATCATCTATCAGAATTCTCCTTGCAATGGCAAGAAGCACTAAATGGAAACCAACAGAGCAGGCAACATTCACTGCCCTGTAACAGTAGCTAGTGCTACATCACACCAACTTACGAAGTTACGACCAATACAATATCAAACCAAACTACTAAATTGGTAGGGAAGAATGAAAGGTTTCCTTAATGTAAAGAACAATTGGGTTTTTACACATCTCCCCCACAAAACAAATTTTGCCAAAGGACAGTCCATAGTCAAAGACATCCTGAAGATCATTCAGATCACAAGACTCTTCACTACGCAAATGAAATATTTCCAAGAAAGTAAATTCCAGAATTAGAAATCTTTGTAGGCTACTCACATGCAAAGGGGACAAGATGATCTCTTTCTCTTTAGATCCACAACTACACAAACTGAATCAACAAAACTATTATGGATCTCTGCTACAAGAACAACTTACTTCGAAGAGGAAACAGGCCATCTTCACTGCAGCAGCACAATAAAATAATGGTGGCAGTTTATCTGACAAAGGCAACAAATGCATGTCTCTAAATTTATCTAGCCTCTGTGCCCTAGGCTTCAGTTAGGAGTCCAGATGACTTGGCTGTTGTAAACAAGTTTCTTAGCTGTAATAAGCCTTTTTGAAAACGAAAATAATATCTGTACTGTATGAAAATGCTCATGTTCCAAACAAGACTTTCCTTATTCTAGAGAACAGTCAAATTCTCTCACAAATGAGGAAAGCTGAATCCAGTACTCTTCGTTGACATATGACAGTTTGCATACCTGCTGAAATGAAACAGCTTAGTCCCAGAAGCACTGCCACAGGCACCTCACACATTTTCCTCTAGCAACCAAATGATAAAAAAATCAACACCTAATTCTACTTACTAAGTTTTCTCTGGGTTTCTACAAAAAAGAGACACCATGAGTCTCAAAAGCACATTACAAAGTAGCTTTGCTATAGAGTGTTCACATTCTTGCTCTTTGTACTAGTTAATTCATCTAACTTTCAGTCCAGAATCCAAATTTAAGCGTACTCTTACGAATCTCTCCTTTGAGTGGAGATGAACCATCACTGATATTTTATTCCATAAACTTAAAGTACATTTTTTTCTGTGCTTCTGCCTCTTGGAAGACCAGGAAGAATCCCTTACTGTTCAATAATTTATCTGTAATGGTGAAAGCCATCTGTCCTTCCAGTTCAGCATGTAGTTTTGCAGGGTGAGAAAGGTCAAACAACACTGAAGCCAAATGTCTGCTTAGGGGCCTTCGCTCTGCACTGAGGTCAAGAACACCAAAAGCCTCGTGCAACTGAAGTGCTCCAGTAGTGGCTATTTGAGGGATGTTACCCAGCAATGGGAAACGAAAGCAATCTCTCCTAAAAATTATCATCAACAAGAAAATACTGTATCCAAGGCCATAAAATCTCAAAAATGTTGTCCTCGAGTTAAGGTCATATATTAAAAGAAGGTTTCGAATAGATTTCTTGAAAACCAAAGGAGAGCTTTTGGAAAATCTCTGACTGTCAGTCTTCCTCTCTAACAAAGTGAAAACTCATAGAGCACTTGAGGACTCACAGTCAGAAAGAAACATGGTCATATTAACTTTGTTTCCTTTTCCTTCTATTCAGGCTGGTTCTTATGATAAAGATACGTGTTTAAGCTTCTAGTTCATAATAGGATCCGTGTAAAATGGGGGATTAGAGAAGGGAGAACTAATACACAGAAAAATGGAAATAAGCAGGTGGCCATATTGCATACTTATAAAATGACACTGTTTGCAGTACAGCGACCTTCTTCCCTGGGTACTGTTCATCCTGTTTACCTGGTTGGTGGAAGACCAGACAACAAGAAGATCCTGATGTTCTACCCGTTCAAAAAGCTTTCACTGCTAAAACAGTTACCATGGTACAGATAAACTACCACGCTCTAATCAAGCTTCATCAGCCTCTTAAACAGCACTCCCTACTAGACTACTGAAGCAAAGTCCTGAAACTTATATAAAGCATTCATAATAACTAAATTATTGCAAATAGTATCTCAAATAGAGAAATGTAACTGTCACTCATTTACCAAACAATGAAACAACTCCAGGAACATTTCTTTCTGTAGAGAACCTTAAAGGAAATCTGAAGGTCAAAGATGGCTTAAGATGACTCACAGTTTAAATAAAGTGACATATGGTCTTTCAAGTGATCTTCTCCAGGAGATTTTAACTCTTACACAGTTGTGTGTCCAACTCATTGCCATCCTAGCACTTCAACTTTGAGATAAGCTATATTTAAAGATAACCTGTGTTTAACAATGAAAATACCATTAGAGTCATAAAGAAATCACTATACTCAAGACAAAGTTCAGGGAAGTAGTGAGGCAAAAACAGTTCTACAGTTCTAGAAGTGGAATATGCACAGTACAACCCTCTCATCCCTCAAATACTATTAGTCTGCATACACCATTTGATCCCAGGGGTCTCAAGCAGCACAACAGAAAGAAAACACTTTGAATACCCTGCTGCAGAAAACTGTGATTCTTTGCCATAGCTTATTCTTTGTTTCGACATCAAATTGTTTTGACTGCAGAGAGACTACAAAGCTCAAGTGGTACTACAATCAACAAAATACCTTCATGAATTTCGTTAACACACAGTTCCAATCACTTGTCACCTTTTTATTGTGCTAAGTAGCAAGAAAAACAAAGTTAATATGATATTGCCTTTAAAATACCTGTAAACGTTTAGAAAGGGATTACTACAACTGAATTGAATTTAACAGAGAATAAAAAGCTAACAAAGAACAAGATAATGTATATTTAAATGATACATCTTCCTAAGGTATAACAGGAATATTTCAGTTATTTTTATGTATTCAGAACCTGGGAAAATCTTTCACACCAGCTGTACAGAGCTACCAGTTTCACTGAGTTGTTGAATACTCAGTGAGCAGTTTGTATTAAAACAGAGTTTAGTTAAAGGTAGCAGAAGTACTAAACAATCAAGATTTAAGCTGGAAGTTACTAGTCTCACAAGCTCCCTGGGCCATTCAGCTATACAAAATAAGCTAAAAGGCTCTTGCCTGTGCCAAATTAGGTACTAATAGTGCCACTTTCCCAGGAACATAATTAAGAGATGATAGTAATGAAGGTCTTACGAATTACATGCCAAATGTTTCTTCCAAGACTACTTCCTGAGTCTGCTATTCATAAAAGTTCTCCTTCTGTTGTTCAATCAACTGGAGCAAATCCCAAAAGAGGATAAACTGCAGTCTTGTGTACGAGGCCCCCACACAAAAAGTTCTAAGTGCAACAGTGTGACAACAGGAATCAATCCAACATCTGATTCAACTGACTTCAGATTTAAATCTATTTTAGGTGCCCTTGTTTAAATGTTTAGAGCTCTAACCTACAGAACTTAAACACCTGTCAAAGACTGAAATATGCAGTTCTCAAAAACTGCTTAGAAAGAATAACTACAGCACAATTTGTCAGCATGTAAGTTGACCACTAATGAATTAAAGAAGTCTGTAAATTTTGGAGTAATTTAAACTTATTTCCAAGGCAAGGTGAAGAGTCATGCCCTCAGAAATTAATTATGAAGCTTTAAAACTAAACAGTTCCTTAAAGATTATTGCAACACAGAACAAGGCTCCACAAAGGACTATAAACAACTAAGTTTTTCTTTAGTGTATTTATACACACGCACACACTAAAAACACGGGCATGTGGGAAACCAATTGTGAGAAATGGCAGCATGTTCAGAAAGAGAAAAGACTTCAGATTCTAGCTCCTGCACACAGAATAAGCTAATGTTGTAAAAATCTCATTATAAGAATCTTTTCAGAAGCTTCTTTTTACACCTAGAAGAATTAACAATTGCATAAGTCTAAACCATTCTTCCCCCCTATAATTAAACTAAACTTGGTCAAATTGCTATGGAATAGCTGCAAAGCCTCCTAAAATTCTCTCATTATTGGCCCCACTAATGGCATAGAATGCACAGACACAGGGCACAGTCTAACTGGTTAGAACAGTTAAGACTTCTTTGAAAAGAAGTTCACAGAAACTTTAATCTTATAAAAGATTACAAGTCCATCTTACATGTCAAATGTGAACCTTTCACTACAACAATATACGTACAGCTTTGACTTGAACAGAAAAACCATATGATCACAGCTTATTATTTTTAAACAGAGCTTAACTCTCAGGAATAGAAAGGCAGCAATAGCAGAGGGAATGGCAAAAGGGCTTTTTTATAAACCCTTGCTACAGAAATGTCCAGTATATCAGTACATTTAGAATTGTGAAGAAAAAGGAGACATCTTTAAACACAACAACCTGTTTTGCCAATGACCAGGCCTAACAGGAACGACACAACCAGCAGGAAGAGAATCCAATACGCAGACTGTATTGTAGACACAAATGTTATGAGATGAATGACCGCTGGGGGTACAAACAGATCAATCAGCTCATACATGATCCACGCCACCCCCAACAATCCCACAAAGGATGCAACTCAGCCCACAACAGGTGGTACAAACAGTGAAATGAGGCTTCCCATAGTTGGCATGGGAAACAGACAAACCAGCAAGTTAAATGCATAAGAAAAAGGTGCCCACATGGCGACTCTCACCTGATCGACCTGCGTTCGCAAAGGCCTAAACAGACCAGGGCCCAGCTCCAGGGAGAGTCAGGAGGTCTGCCCTGAACCAGGAAGCTCTGGGGAGTGCACTCCACAGACAGACACTCCTGACTCCCTGCAAGTGGTCCCAGCTTTTATCCCCAAGCAGACACCTGACCTTTGTCAACTCAATGCGGTTGTGCCCTTGTGCGTCCCCCTGCGGCCCCGGCCGCACCCTGGGGGGAAGCTATAAGGCAAACTCACCTCCTCTGTATGAAGGGCTGTGGGAATCACCCATATGTCAACCTTAATTTGGGATCTCGGGGTTCAAACCCCAGCATTTCACAACCTTACCACCTCCCATATCTCCAAATTTAAAGATGAGCATTCTCTGCCTTAGGTGTTTGCCCTGTTACACATTCACTTCAGTACAAAAAAAACCCTCATTATCAGAATAGGGGAAATTCAATGCACGGACATTTGTGAACAGCTATGGCATCAGCTATAGCTTATATAAGACCAACTAAAAGCAAGTAAAAGTCAGACACATTTACTTTTTATTACTGGGGTGATTTTCACAGACTACTTCCTAAATATGCCAAATTTCTCATCCCTTTCAGTATATCCACCAACCCACAGGCTTAATAAGAGATACCACCTTACAACAAGCTTCTGATGAAGACCACTGGAATTGTTACCTACCGCAGGCCTGCTCCCTGCTAGACACACCACACAAACCCATCAAGCCAGGTCTGCACTTAAAGGATACGAGAAGCGATCGTTCCATGTTGCTCTTTCCACATAATCCAACATAACAACAGCTTTAATTGTCGTTAGAAGTTTATTCCATGTTTCATCAAAGTCAACTACTCGTGGTTTCAAGGACATTGTGGGGCTTTAGTGTTAATCTGTAGAAGAAATAAACGTCAGACAACATTGTATCTTCACTGAAAAATTAAAAGGAATTTTTTTTTTTAATTTAAACTTTGCTGACTGCTGCACCACCATGATACAGCAACACAAAGAACATTCCCGCTTCCCCCCTCCCAAAATCAAGCTCATAAGCCCTTATTTTTAACATTATGGAATTGAACATTAGTGTTGCATTAATAGTCTATAACATAACAACAAGTAATCTAACAATATTGTGCCTCAAGTTCACCATCTTACAAAGCTGCCCACAGAACAACACCATATGAAGAAAATTTTCCTGTAAAGTTCTGTTTATTCACTTTCATGTAGACCGTTTCAGATGTAACAAGAGAGAATTTTGGGCAGGAACACACTGAACATATTACTAGAGTATCTGAAATTACTGTTGTCAGTTTGTAACCTATGTTCACCTCAAGCTTTCATGAGACATTTCTGGCGTTATATTTAAAAAGCCACAAGACCCAATAGCTTTCATCAAGATGACAGAAAGAAAACGCATCTAAACACAGAGCACTACACAAAGCATGTGCAACTCATTGCACTGTGCAGCAGACAAACAGTGAATTCTTTCAAATAAGAGATGGCTTGAAAATACAGAAGCTGTTAGCAGTACCGTATAAAAAATATTGGAAGATACTTTTTCAAAGAAAAACATTAAATTACTGAAATAAAACAAGGAAAAAAGATGGGTAATTTTTAAAAAGAGGTCTGAGAGAAACAGCTGTGAAGGCCTCTTCTTTGTTTCTATTTGTCTCTGTCCTGTGCACCTAATCTAGAAAGCACCTGATGTGTGACACGGCATGCACAAAGCAAGTCTAGTTCCTGCTCAGAAACACCACGCTGTAAGACCAAAACAACACATGGAAAGAATACTTCTATTTTCATTTTGAATAGATGGACAAGTGACTCTTAACTTGTCTCCCCAGATTGTCAAGGGCAGAAGGGAAAACAGCTAGTGACAAACACTTTTAGCACAAGAGGCACACCTCTACAAGAGAAAGAATCAAATGTCATGCTAAAAAACTATTGCATAACCAGCTTACTACCTTAACCATTACTAGCTCTTCACTTCTTCAGGCAGATTAGTGCTCTCAAACTGCAGGACACATAGCTTCTTAGTTTTTTAAAAGAATAAATAAAAAATCAGATGCAACTTTTACATTGCAGGCATGCAAAATGACATCCTAACTAACCAAGCTCCTTAGCTGCTGTGAATTCAGGAACCTCAGTTGTTTTCATCCACCTGCAACACAACAGTTTAAAAGGAAACTGTAATCAATGTATTACTGAACCCACATTTGCTTTGATTTCACAAAGAAACTGAATAGCAACTCAGTAACATCAAGGAAGTGGTATTATCCTAGGTTTTTTGAAAAGGAAATTTTTTTTTTTAAAGAACTGAAGCTTAGTAAGTGGTGCATAGGTATCTTCAGTTCACTAGAAACATTTAAGCTGTCACATTTTCAACACAGTTATTACCACTTTTGGAATTTAAAAAGAAAGTTTTACATCTGTGTATGTCAGTAGCAGCTTACTACACAGAAAATCAGTGAGAAGTGACAAAGAAAATAGATATCCATCAAAGAAAGTAAGTTGAAAAACAAACTGATACATGTTTCAACGGAACATGAACCTCAGTACAAGTAAACAACAGCAGAGCTCACTTCCTGAAGAGAAACAAAACAAACAGTAGCCCTCTAAAAGCTCTAATAGTATTATTTTTCTGGAAAACACAAGAGTATTTTGAATTGACCACAAGAAAAAAAAAATTATTACAGTCCACAAAAAATTTTAAGACTCCAAAGAAATCCATGTGGCAATGAACTTATACTTCATTGAGTGTTATGGTGTAGGTTGCTATCTCTGAAATACAATTCGTACCTCCAAGGTACAGGAACCGTTCCTTCACAGATAAACAAAACTGAGGGGTGGAAGGACAAAGAAATCGTCCTGCCCACAATTCACCACACGGAATCATTAACACTGTGCTCAGCATCAACAAAACCAAACAATATGTAAAGCGTTGTGCACCCACGTACTCATAAAGGTATTCTGGAGTTAAATAGTTGCAAAGGCAGAACTGAATGTTATTTAGCATTCTCTTACAGCTTTCACTTCAGTGTGAATTTAAACTTGTTTTATAGACATATTAGCAAACACAGTATAATTTTTCCTGTTAAGATGCTGGGGTCTGGGGTGTTTGCTGTCCTTCAGTGTCTGCAGTGTGCAGGCTCACTAGCTTAGAGTACTGAATCTCTTGTACTGATGCAAGTAACCTCCACGGTAAAAATTACATCAGGGCAGAATATCTACCCTCGGGTTCATACTAACCAGGGGGTGGGAAACAATACTGTCTTGACAAGCCCCAAGGTAAGCACATATTGTTGAAGCATATTTGCTCATGGGGAAAATTAAAAGAAGCCTGCTTCCACCACCTCAGTCTTTAAAACATAGCATTATTACACTGAATATAATTGTTCACACAAATAAATGGAGAGTTTTAGCTAGTGACAAAACACTCCCCAAATTTCCGATCTATTTAACCATTCTGAAAAATAATACGAGCTGGCGGTGGGTGAAAAGCCAAGGGCAGGAGTACCCGCCTC